GTGGCGTCTTTCAACACTTCGGGTCCTTGTTCTCCAGTGTTCAAGGGTTCAAGTAGATCACCAGACCTTTGTTTACGTTCTTGGGGTGCGTATATTCAGATTGGTTGTGGGTTCGTGGAATTTTTTCCTTGTGGGTTCTCACCACAAGTAAAAATTGTCCCTCTCATATTGAAGAACTTTCTGGTGTTTATCAAGGAAGATCAGGACAATTTTCACAAAGAAATCCTTATTCTAACACCTATAATGAGGGATGGAGGGATCATCAAAATTTTAGGTGGAGGGAAGGATCAGAGAAACCTCTAACAATGCAAAACAAGTTTCAAGACAACAGAGTGAATTCTGAACATACCAGAACTTTAGTACAGCATCAAGGTCCATCCTCCTCCAAAAATGACAATGGTATGGCTGAATTGATTCAATGTATGAAGGAAATGAAATCTGAGATAGCCAACAACAATTCTTTGACCAATTCTAGGATGAGTGCATTGGAGCAGAAGACTGAGTAGTGGGAAACTAAGTCTGCTAATCTGAATAATTTTGTCACTCAAATGTCTAATACACTTAACGATCTGTAAGCAAGAGGTGGAGGGTCTCTACCTTCAAATACAGTGATTAATCCAAAGTCATTGAATGCCATTTCTTTGAGGAGTGGAAGACAAGTTGGAAAACAAGTCAATTTTACTTTGGATGAGGATGATGAACAACTTAAAGAATTTGATAATATGCAGCAAAATGATGATTCTGTGGTGACCCCTCAAGTTCAATCTGAAAGCAAATGTGAGAAGAAATTATTGTCAACAAGGAAAAAAGAGAAAGAATCAATTTTCACACATGATGATAATGCAACCTAGGCTGCAAACTCTCAGCATTCTAGAATTAAGGAGTTACAGCAAGAAGTACCCAAAGTAGTCCCAACTCCTTCTGGTCAACAGAATGAGGAACTTCCAGAAATTCAGAAGCAATCAAGGAAGGGTAAGAGTGAGATAAAGATTTAAGAGCTTTCTTTTCCTAAATCATTTCTTCTTAGTAGGAAATTGTCTAATGAACAAGTTGAGAAAGATACTTTGAATCTATTTAGCAAGCTGGAAGTTAATGTACCCTTATTGGATTTCCTAAAAAGTATGCCTAAGTATGTGAGATTTTTGAAGAAGCTGTGTACTAACAAGAGGACATGCAAACCCAATGAATTGGTTCAAATACGCTCTTAAGTGTTTCAGCACTTTTAAAGCCACATTTGCCAGTGAAGTGTTTTGATCCAGGATCATTTACAATTCCATGCACGATTGGTAAATTGAATATAGCTAGTGCCCTCCTAGATTTGGGTGCTGCTATAAATGTTATGCCATTGTCTATCTATACATCTTTGGGCATTAATTCAATAAAAGACACTAGTATGATCATTCAGTTGGCCGATAGAAGCATTAGAAGACCTCATGGGCTATTGGAAGATATTCTGGTCAAGGTTAAGGACTTGATTTTTCTAGCAGATTTCTATGTCTTGGATATGTCCCATGAATCAACCATTGAGGGACCACTGATCTTAGGGAGACCATTCCTTCGAACTGCCAACACAGTGATTAGTATGAAAGATGGTTGTATCACAATGGAAGTGGGTGATCACATGATCAGTTTTAATGTTTATGAAGCTATGAAGCACCCATATGAAGATTACTCATTATTGGGCGTAAGTGCCATTGATGCTTTCATAGAAGACTCTGTAGCTGAATGTGAACCTTCCCTTCTCAACATGAACGAGTATGGTCTCACCACATTTGATTTAGATTTGCCAATAATGAATTCCTTCTTCTGCCCCAATGATTTTTCTGTTTGTGATGATGAGGTGTGTAGTATTGACTTTCATTCAGTTGATAGCTCACTTTCCACATTGCAAACATTTTCTTTTGAACTCTCTTCTTTTGATGATGATTTTGTTTCTGAAATCTCTAATAATGGGTTTGGGAAAGGTATACTTTCTAACTTTACAGAAGCTGAGAATATTGCAAAATCTGCATTAGATAGAGCTAGTACCAATATAGCAATGTTGGAAACATCAAGAATGCATATTGATGAAGAAAAGAAAGGAGATTTGGTCACTAGACAAGCTTATGCTAAGGAACAAAAATTCCATATTCCACCAGCTCACTGTTTTGAGAAATTAAAGTCGCAATCCGATTCAATTTTGGATAATTTACATCAGAATTCTCCTTATGATGCATTAATCAACACTGCAGATAACTTTAATTCTTCATATCCTTTTCAAATGTTAAAGCATATTCATGAATTTTTGTCCACGTTTTCTGCAGAAGCTAAACAATGTAGGAGAGAACTTCAATCATTGCAGCAAGTTACTTGTAATCAAGATCAAGCTAAAAAGTGTTCAGAAATAAAGAATCTGCACAAGAATTCAATGCTAAATTTATGAAATTCTTGCGTAATGTACATTATCATCTTGGTTGTTTACCCTCTGGTTGCTATTATGACAGGACACAAAATCCAGAATCAAGTGAGGACTTGCAGTGGCATTTTGTTAGAGCTTTGGAGCTTAAGGAGTTGGTTCCTTCTGTGGTGAAACCCCCTGAACTAGAACTTAAACCCCTACCCCCCCAATCTTAAATATGTATATCTTGCTGAAGATAATAAATTACCAGTGATTATAGCTACTTCACTCACTATTACAGAGGAGGAACAATTAATTGCTGTTTTGCAGAAACATAAAAAGGCAATAGGTTGGTCTATGGCAGACATACCTGGAATCAATCCTTCAATTTGTACTCACAGAATATTATTAAATGATGGGATGAAACCAATTAGACAACCTCAACATAGGCTCAACCCCTTGATTTTAGATGTTGTTAAAAAAGAGGTTACTAAGCTCCTGAGTGCAGGCATCAATACCCCATCTCGGATAGTGAATGGGTCAGCCTTGTACAAGTGGTCCCTAAAAAAAGTGGCATTACTGTTATTAAAAATGAAAAAATGAATTGATACCAACTAGGATACAGAATGCATGGCGTGTGTGCATTGACTATAGAAGACTAAATGATGCAACACGAAAGGACCATTTTCATTACCCTTTGTGGATCAAATGATTGAGAGATTATTTGGTAGAACTAATTATTGTTTTCTTGATGGATTTTCAGGATATTTCCAAATACCGATTTCACCAGAGGATCAAGATAAGACTACCTTTACTTTGTCCCTATAGAACTTTTGCTTATAGAAGAATGCCCTTTGGGCTATGTAATGCACCGGGAACATTTCAGAGGGCTATGATGGCTATATTTAGTGAGTTCCTAGGTTCATCTATGGAGGTATTCATGGATGATTTTACAGTGTATGGGGATAATTTTTCTGCTTGTCTAGAGAGTCTTGGCCAAGTGCATAGAGAAAAATTTGCTTTTGAATTTTGAAAAATGTCACTTTATGGTGGATCAAGGCATAGTACTAGGTCATTTAGTTTCTAGAAGGGGCATTGAGGTAGATAAAGCAAAAATAGAAGTCATTTCATCTCTGCCTTATCCTAAGACTTTAAAGGAACTAAGATCTTTTCTTGGCCATTGTGGTTTTTACAGAAGGTTTTTAAAGATTTCAGCAAGATTGCTTCTCCTTTGTCTAAACTCATGCAAAAAGATGTTGATTTTCACTTTGATGAGGACTGCAAACATGCATTTGATACTTTAAAAGCAATGCTTGTCTCACCGCCGATACTCACTGCACCAGATTGGAATTCACCATTTGAGCTAGCTTGTGATGCATCTCATACAGCAGTAGGTGCAATGTTGGGTCAAAAAGACGGTAAACTATCCAGGGTAATTGCATATGCATCCAAAATGTTGGATAGTGCCCAAATTAATTATACTACAACTGAAAAAGAATTGTTTGCAATTGTCTTTGCTTTGGACAAGTTTAGACCTTATCTTCTTAATTCTCATGTTATTGTTTATACTGACCATGCGGCTGTGAAATTTCTTTTTAAGAAAACAGATAGCAAGCCAAGGTTATTGAGATGGATTCTATTGCTACAAGATTTGATTTGGAAATTCGAGACAGGAGTGGTGCTGAAAACTTTGTTGCAGACCATTTGAGTAGGCTACCTGAAGATACAAAGGGAGTTTCTGATTCTTTCTTAATCTGTGATGACTTCCCTACTTCTGTGTTAGTGGCTATGACTAAACATGAACCTTGGTATGCTAACATAGTGAATTACCTTGTTACAGATTTAATTCCACCTTCCCTTTCTTACTTTCACCTATTCAGGCCCAAAAATTAAAGAGTGAAGCCAAATACTATTGTTGGGATCCACCTATTCTTTGGAGGCTGTGTAATGACCAGATTATACGGAGATGTGTCCCTAATGAAGAAGTCACTGGAATTTTGGATGCTTTACTCTTGGGCATGTGGTGGACATTTTGGTGCTAAAAAGACTTCTAGGAAGATTTTGGAAGCAGGGTTCTACTGGCCAACACTCTTTAAAGATGCCTACAATTACTGCAAAGTGTGTGATAAGTGCCAGCGTTTTGGGGGAAATAGTAGAAGACATGAGATGCCCCAAGTTCCAATGCTTTTCTGTGAAATATTTGATGTGTGGGGGATAGATTTTATGGGGCCATTCCCTCCATCTTTTGGTTATCATTATATACTATTAGCTGTGGATTATGTTTCAAGATGGGTGGAGCAATACCAACAAAAAGGATGATGCAGCCACTGTTGCCAAGTTCATTAAGTCTCATATATTTTCCAGATTTGTATTCCTAGAGCCATGGTTAGTGACAGAGGGACACACTTTTGTAATAGGTTGTTGGATGGTCTTTTTGCTAAATATGAGTAACTCACAAGATGTCCATAGCTTATCACCCTCAAACTAATGGCCAAACAGAAATTTTAAATAGGGAAATTAAACAGATTCTTGAAAAGATTGTGAGACCAACAAGGAGGGATTGAGTGTTAAATTAGAAGAAGCTTTATGGGCATATAGGACAGCTTTCAAGACCCCAATTGGTATGTCTCCTTATAGGCTAGTATATGGAAAAGCATGCCACTTACCTGTAGAACTTGAACATAAAGCTTATTGGGCTGTAAAAATCTGCAATATGGACATGGAAGCTACTGTAATTGAAAGAAAAATGCAGATACAAGAGTTAGAAGAAATCAGACTTGAGGCATATGAGAATTCAAGGATGTATAAGGAAAAGACAAAGCTCATTCATGATAAAGGCATCTTAAGGAAACATTTTAAGGAGGGTGATCGTGTTCTCTTATTCAGGGCCAGATTCAAGTTTAAACAAGGGAAGCTCAATACAAGATGGGATGGTCCATATATAGTTACCAAAGTGCATGATTTTGGCATGTTGGAACTTCTGGATGAGCAAAATGGTTGCACATTGAAGGTCAATGGACATTTGCTTAAACTCTATCATGAAAACTCCCGCCACCTTGAATATCAGGTTGCCTCTTTTCCCTATTGCTTGCTTTTCATTTTTGTGTCTTGCTAGTGATATTTTATGCTTAAATGATTTGAGAATAAGTGTGGGGGAAAGAGGTCATTTCAGTATTTTTTTTTTAAAAAAATGGTGTTTTACTTGTTTTCCTTTCTTTTGTTTCATTGTTTTTACTCTGGACTTTTCATGTGCTCCAGACTGTATTGAGGACAATACTGAATTTAAGTGTGGGGAAGGATAATATCTTGATGATTTTGAAATTCTTGGTTTTAGATTGTGTACTGCTGATATGACTTAGCACTCATGTCTCTTGCTTTGAGTGTCTATGCATAATCCACTTTCTAGATCAGTTGTGCTGCACTAAACCTTTGCTACTCCAAAAATCTCTTTGGTTCTAAGCTTGATTTTCTGAAATCATGTTGATAACTTTCTGACTTGAACATTTAGGAATCTGGGAATTCATTGAAACCTAATTATTCTTGGGATGATTCAGCATTTGAGGTTGAGAAATGTTGTATTAAGGTTAGAATTGATTTTATTCAGCTGTTGTATTGGATTTGGGAAGAATAACCCATGTTGGAAGGTCTTGTTTGAGCCTAAATTCTTTTTATTAAGAGTGCAATCTCCTTAGTACTAGGACCCTCTAGAACTTGACCTAGCTCTTAATTGAGGCCACATTTTTGCTTTGGGAAATTGCATATGAAAGAGGCATTCTATTCTAAGCCCAGTTTACTCCAAACACAATCCATTGATATTGACTTTTGCTTAACCCCATTGAGCCATTCATGATTCTTTTGATATCATACTAGCCAACTTAAGTAAGATTGTATTGCATTTGGTCATCAAGTTTCATGCTTTTTCATTGTTAGGATATTTTGTATTACCTTTGTCTAATTCTGTCTTAGGATGCTAGCTGTGAAAATTAAAAAATGGAAGAAAGAAAAGGAGAAGAAAGAAAAAGGCAGTTGAAAAAAAAACGAATTGAAAAAAAGGATATACAAAAAAAAAGAGCCAATAAGCAGCAGAAAAAAAAGAAATGAGAAAAAAAAGTTTTTGGAAAAGCCTAAGCAAAGAATTATAAACAAGATTATAGCTAGTATCTCATAACTCCAGTATTCCAATAAGAGCTATACATTAGCATTTGCATTCATGGCTTGCGTTGAAGAGTTCATTTGTGAGTTGTTTGTATTCTTTCTGTCTTGTTTTCAGCATGCATGCATTCTTGCTCAAGTGGCCAAATTCCATCCTTTAGCCTTTCCAACATTACAACCTTAAGGGAAGTCCTCTTGATGCAAAATTACCTCATGCTACTCAGTGGTGGAGATATTAGAGTTTCGTCAAGCTTATGGTAGGGCCTAGGCTAAGAGAGAAGAGTGAAATGACCCTGTAATGGAATGGTGAGGAGAGTGAAACACTTGCCGAGAGAATACTTCCACTTTTCCTTGTGCAATTTGCTGAATTAAGATCATTTCCTAGTCTTTTTATTGACAATTTGATTCCTTATTATGCTGGTTTTTCTCTTGAGTACTGGGTTGAGATGACGAATCATAATTGGATACTATTTCAATTTATAGCTGGTTGTTAATGAGATTTCAGGAACTATTTGATCATATTTGCCCAGGAGTGCAAAGTGCTAGTTTAGGGGAATTTTATGAACCACATTTTGATCAACTAAATAATGTGATTTCCTATTGAATTTAAATACTTTCATGTGGAATTATCTTTAGATTTCCAATATTTGATAAGAAATGATGCTGTGAGAATTTGGTGTATCATTGTAGGATTGAAAGGGATTTTCTCTAATTGTGGAAGTATTGGTGAAGAATGGACAAAATCTGGAAAGATGTAGCCAAAAATCTTGAATTAGGAGTTAAAACGCAGTGTTTTGAATCTGGTTAAGAGCTAGAATCATGTGTGATCTAGTGTAGCATTCTATGAAGAAAAACTCTAAGTAAAACGCATAGCTCCATGGCCAGTGAGTTTCAAGAGAGTGACACATGTCTTGGGCTTTAGTAAAATGCACAACTGAAGGCAGGGAAGTTTCACATGTCAAAATACAACATTACAAGCCTTCAAATGGTGGATAATGAGGTGAGAAGACGGAGGGAAAATTAAAAACAAAACTGGACGTCCAGAAGCTTGAGAAAAACAGATCTGATATTGAATTCCAGCATTCTCATTCATTCTCTTCTTTTCTTCACTTCTCCAGATTCTCTTAACTTCCAGATTCATCTTCTTCATCTTCTTCTCTTCTCTTGCATTTTGCCATGGAGATTCAGAGGAGATTTGGCCAGATTTCCTCCATCAACATGAGCAACTAAGCCATTGATTCCTGAGGAGCTGTGATGGATCCAGGGCACTGATTGTCAAGGAGATTTCATTTTTCTTGAGTTTGTATTTGTGTTTCAGATTTGGATCTTGTTATAAATCTTTGTTTGAAGTTTAGATATATAACTCATCTTAGATTTCATTAGGTTCTGCTACTTCTGAGTTGTGATGTGTTTAGAGGTTATAATTTCCTTTTTCTAAGTAGATTCAATTCAGTTTCTGATTTGATTAAGTCTGGAACTTAGTTGTTGTAATAAATCTGAGGTGAATTGGTTAATCGTCATCCTGGAAATTATCTAATTACATCATTAGAGTTGATTGCAGACCTACTGTTTGATGAATTGCCTAAGAGAAATAGAAATCTGATTTTAGGTTGCAAGGAAGGTGAAATCACAAATCCAAGGGAATTCACTTCTGATGTGAGGGGATGTACGGACCGGCTAGAATCAAGTAATGAACGGACGGTTGATCTAGGTAGGACCTTAAGAGAACCCGTCTCTTACAAACCTAGCCATGAAGACACCACAAGGTTGATCAATCCCTTGATACTGTCAAGTATTCTCACGAGAATACAAGGATGCAAGCAAAGCTCACACTGAAAGAAATAAACTTAATTCTCATTCATCTAAATCTTAATTTTAAGTACAAAAACGTAGCCTATATATAGGCAACCATAGAACACTCTAGAATCAGCATCTTAAGACATAAATGCTAGGAATGATGCCTCATTAATGATTATTTGACTATAGGAGGCATCATTTCTTACATAGAAATAAAAGGAAATAACTTAAACTTCAAGAACAAATCTGCTATTTGAAAATAAGAAACTAATTAAAACAAACAAAATCCTAATTAATGTCAATAATATCACCCTTGATGCTTCTTGAATCTTCTTGGACCTTCCAAATGGACATTCATTGCTATTCACGTCCAAAAGCATAAATGGGCCTTTTAGACATCCATTTGGGCTTGAATGTGGTTGAATCACGTTCTGGAATTCCCATGGTCCATAGCATAATGCATTTGGGCCCCAATTTAAAAGATTATAGCTCCAATGGACTCCTCCATACATATATAATTGTGTTGGGCCTTCAACAACATGAAAACTGGCTTTAAATGCTCCTTTTGGGCTCTTAGAATGTGCTCTTATCTTTCTCAAGGTCCAAGTGTTCATACTCCAATGACTTATATGCCATGGCGGTTTTTGGGGTGGCCTTCCATATGTCACGTTAAGCTCCGTATGTATCTGTGTCATCATCCAAGGAATGATCCATGTCCTCCTCCATGTAAGCATTCTAGAGCTATAAATCCCTTGAACATTCTGGAGGGCTTGCTGGGCTTCTAACTGAGGGTGTGTTATTTGGGCTTCATGACCTTCATATTCAACGCCTCCTGGTATGCTATCAACTTCATTGATATCTCTTTCAAACTCTTTTCTGCATCTTATTCTTCTCTCATTCCTTTTGAAAATTAGTTTTCATAAATAACAATTCAAGACAGAAACCAATTCCAGAAGCTACCTCCTTCTCTGTTAGTTTAATTTGTAACTTCTAACTAGTTTAATTCCAGAAGACATTAAGGCTCCTTGAGACTGACCTCTAGTTGACTCATCTCCCACCTAATCTAGAGTATTAAATTTGACCTTTGAATGACAAGAGATCAGTTATTATGATGTAGGAAAGAAGTAGAATGGCTTGTTATGGCTATAATAGTGACTCAGAGGGTTCAATTAACCAGAGGAGACAAGGAGAACCTTTCCCTCAATGGTTTGATATTGTAGCGGACTTCTACTATGACACCTTACGGGCGAGTAACCCTCTACCTGACATAGCCATAGTTGCTTCTAATGACCCTCAGAGGATTGCGGTCATTGAAATATCTGATGATAATAGAGCTAGACCTACTAACGTCAAACTACTTCCAATCACCAAAGAATTCAACACCATAGAGGATTTAGCTAAGGACTTTAGGGAGAGAGACTGGTACATTAAGCTCAACGAGAACCAGCATGCCCATGTGTACCTAAGATATCTGGAGAATAAGCTCTACTATTATGTGACTAGAGAAGATGATACCCTGGAGGTTACGGACTAGGCATCAGTATTGCTTAAAGTACTCCCTAGGACCTGGCTTTGGAAAAATGGTGTGAGAGACATTTGTAGTCACATGGATAGTGCTAGCTTCAATGATCTCATAGATGCTCTCGAAATCTTTGTGGGGAATACATTTTCTTGAGTCAGATATAGAGGACTGGATCCTGACGATGATAGACAAGCTCTCGTTCACACCCTAATGGCAGAATGAGTTCTATCGCCTGGATTAGATACAAGGATCCGATATTAAGGAGTGGATCCAGAGCCTTGAGGGCTTCACTATTTCCCAGTTTGTGTAGCTAGTTGGGCCTTTGTAGCACTGATGTAGGACTTGTTTTAGTACAGCTAGCCATAGTAGGAGTAGACTGACGATGCTTGGTTGTTTTGTATGTTTCTAAAACATTTATGTCTTAAACTTTGTTGCTATTGATTGATATATGAATGCTGTGTGATGTATGCATATGTTTAAGTGAAATCCAATCATGTTGTTTATTTCTTGTTCCTTTGTTATGCTATCTATTTAGTTAATGTGATGGACACAATGCAAGGGTCCCTCCCGATCCGCTACAGTTGATTTTGGATCACTTGGAACAGCAACAAAAGGTTATTTAAGAGACGAGGGTTGTCTAAGCTTGCCAGGAATAAGAAAAAGACGTCGTGATAGCTGTAGTAGTAGTTGCAGCAGTGGCTAAACTTGACAGGAGGCATCCAGAAGAAGAAGTTTTTATAGCTCAAGCATCAGATCAGCTGCCCAGACCATCAACGCCGGCAGTAGACCCTAACAGCATCCAGCAGTGGATGACTCATTTCTACAAACACAATCCATCGTTGTTCTATGGAGTGTTCGACATCCAAGAGGCAAAGGACTAGATTAATAGCTTAGAAAATATTTTCAAGGTTTTGGACTATCTGACCAAGTGGAAAGCCCAAATGGCGATCTACAAGCTAGAAAAGGATGTCAACCGTTGGTGGAAGAACACCGAATTCATTCTTGAATCTCAAAACACAAGGGTAACATGGAAAGTGTTCTTGAAGCAGTTTTATGAGAAGTACTTCCCACGATTAGTTAGGGACAAAAGGGAAGCGGAATTCCTGACCCTGAAGTAGAAGGATAATGAGCCATTTGATGAGTACCTGGCTAAGTTTATCCGTTTCTCTCACTACTCCAGTTATCTGTATAATTGGGATGATGAGAGGTTGATCACTAAGAAGACTGAAGCAGCCCTTAAGGTAGATGATTGCTCCCAGGCAATTTGAGCACTTCAATGAGGTAGTTGAAGCCTGCCAAATTACAAAGAATAACCTGAACCATCATCTGATGGTTAAGTCTACTCCTAAGTTAGAGAAGGGAGATCAGGGTAGCACCTCTTCTAATGCCAACAGGAAGAGGAAGAGGTCATGGGACAACCGAAACAACAAGAAAGGAAGCAAGCCCCAAATGGTAAGGGATGACCAACCTGCAACAAGAGTCACAGTGATAGACCATGTATGGTCGAACAGAATGTCTGCTATACTTGCAGTAAGCCCAATCAAGGGAATGCCTCCAAAATGCAAAAAAGTCAAGGCCACGTACCCCATGGATTGATTATGATTTAAATTCATTTTTTTTGGTCAAGGAGTGTTCTAGAAGATCATGTTTTGATCTACTGTCCTATTTTTAAATAGCAGACTTGTTCTTGAAGTTTAAGTTATTTCCTTTTATTTCTATGTAATAAATGGTGCCTCCCATAGTCAAATAATCATTAATGAGGCATCATCCCTAGCATTTATGTCTTAGGATGCTGATTCTAGAGTGTTCTATTGTTGCCTATATATAGGCTATGTTTTTGTAATTGAAGGAGATTTAAATGAATGAGAATTGAGTTTATTTCTCTTAGTGTGAGCTTTGCTTGCATCCTTGTATTCTCGTAAGAATACTCGATAGTATCAAGGGATTGATCAACCTTATGGTGTCTTCATGGCTAGGGTTGTAAGAGACGGGTTCTCTTAAGGTCCTACATAGATCAACCGTCCGTATGTCCCCTCATATCAAGTGGTATCAGAGCTAAGGTTTGCTAGATTTCAAGTTTTATTCTTTTGTGTTTTCATTCTTTTGTTCCTTATTGCTTCCGTTTTCCTTTCATTTCCATTATCCTCATTCTTTCTTCCTTATTTCGATCCCTTTTGTTTATGTTTTTCCATTTCATCTTCCTTAATCTCTTTTTTCTCCCTTTTGCTTGATATGAGGGGACGTACGGACCGGCTAGAATCGAGTAACAAATGGACGGTTGATCTAGGTAGGACCTTAAGAGAACCCGTCTCTTACAACCTTAGCCATGAAGACACCACAAGGTTGATCAATTTGTTAATACTGTCGAGTATTCTCACGAGAATACAAGGATGCAAGCAAAGCTCACACTGAGAGAAATAAACTCAATTCTCATTCATCTAAATCTCCTTCAATTACAAAAACGTAGCCTATATCTAGGCAACAATAGAACACTCCAGAATCAACATCCTAAGACATAAATGCTAGGGATGATGCCTTATTAATGATTATTTGACTATGGGAGGCACCATTTATTACATAGAAATAAAAGGAAATAACTTAAACTTCAAAAACAAGTCTGCTATTTAAAAATAGGAAAGTAGATCAAAACATGATCTACTAGAACACTCCTTGACAAAAAAAACGAATTTAAATCATAATCAATTCATAATGATGCCTTCTTGAAGATTATTGGATGTCACTTATGACCCTTGTCTAAGGCACATGCTTGTCACATGGTATCTTAAGTGAATTCTTCAATTTGAACCCCACATGGGCCTTGTACATCATCTTGTTGGGCTTCTAGCAATGTGATCACCATTTTTGGACTCCTTTTAGGCTCACTAAAATGTGCTTCTTCGAAATAAATGGGCTCTAGCTCTTTTAGCCCTCTTATTAGACAATTTAGGGCCTCTTTCATAGCTTTGGTCCTTGCTCTTGTCATTGGGCCTCCAATGCTTTGTAATGGATCTTTTGAAATGTTGGACTTCTTTGTTTGGGCTCCTTGCCCGTGCTCTTGATCACACCTTGCTCCTCCATCATTCCCTCCCTGCTCGAATGGATTCGTCCTCGAATCTGCAACATCAAAGAGAGATAAATACAGCAACATTAAAAGTAGCACTAACATTACCATAGGAACTAGGCAAATCTGTTTTATAAGCATTGTCATTGATCCGCTCTAAGACTTGGAAAGGGCCATATCCTCTTGGATGTAACTTAGATTTGCGTTGATCGGGAAATCTCTCCTTCCGCAGGTGTACCCAAACCCAATCTGCAGGCTCAAAGACATTCCTCCGACGACCTTTGTTAGCTTGCCTAGCATATTGCCCATTCTTCCTCTCTATGTTGGCTCTCACCTTAGCATGTAATCCCTGCACAAACTCAACCTTTTTCTTGCCATCGAGATTTGCTTGCTCATTAGAAGGCAATGGTAAGGAGACAAAGGATTAAAGCCATAGACAACCTCAAATGGAGAGAAGGAAGTAGAAGAGTGAACAGCTCTACTATATGCAAACTCAATATGAGGCAGAAAATTGACCCAATTCTTTAAGTTCTTTTGGATTATTGCACGCAACAAGGTAGTAAGTGTTCTGTTGACTACCTCAGTTTGCCCATCAATTTGGGGATGTACCACAGTAGAAAATAACAACTTAGTTCCTAGCTTACTCCATAAAGTCCTCCAAAAATGGCTAAGAAACTTCACATCCTTGTCACTCACAATGGTTTTGGGCAATCCATGCAACCTAACAATTTCCTTGAAAAACAAGTCAGCAATATGGACTGCATCATTTGTTTTAGAACATGCAATAAAATGAGCCATTTTACTAAATCTATCAACCACAACAAAGACACTATCCTTTCCAGACTGAGACCTAGGAAAACCCAACACAAAATCCATAGAAATATCTACCCAAAGTTGGGAAGGCACAGGTAAAGGAGAATACAAGCCATGAGGTTGAACCTTAGACTTTGCATGCTTGCATGTGACACATTTGGTACAAATAGAAATGACATCTTTCCTCATATGAGGCCAATAAAAGTGTTCATGCAAAATAGCTAATGTTTTGTCAACACCAAAGTGACCCATCAAACCACCACCATGAGTTTCCTTTACAAGCAGCTCATGCATAGAGCAATTAGGAATACACAATTTATCTTTCTTAAAAAGAAACCCATCAGATCTATAAAAGTCATTCACCTCATGCTCACAAGAAAGTCAAATTTTGGAAAAATCACAATCAGAGTCATACAGCCCTTTCAATAATTCAAATCCAAGTAATCTAGCATGAAGAGAAGTGATAAGAGAATACCTCCTAGAAAGAGCATCAGCAACAACATTCTCTTTACCTTGCTTATGCTTGATCACATAAGGAAATGTCTCTATGAACTCTAACCAGCGAGCATGCCTCTTGTTAAGCTTACCTTGAGACTTTAGAAACTTCAAACTTTCATGATCAGAGTGAATAATGAACTCCTTGGGCCATAAATAATGCTGCCATATTTCTAAAATTTGTTTTAAAGCATAGAGTTCCTTATCATAAGTAGAGTAATTCAAAAAAGCTCCACTTAATTTCTCACTGAAGTAGGTAATAGGCCTAGACTCTTGCATTATAACAGCACCAATACCAATCCCAGAAGCATCACATTCAACTTCAAAAACTTTATTAAAATCAGGTAAACACAAAAAGTGGTTCATTGGTTAATTTCTCTTTCAAGGTATTAAAAGCTGTTTCTTGTGTTTCACCCCATTTAAATGTCACATGCTTCTTAACAAGCTCATTTAGAGGCACAGCAATAGTTGAAAAATCTTTGACAAACCTCCTATAGAAACTTGCTAGTCCATGGAAACTCTTGACTTTATTGGCATTCTTTGGGGTTGGCCAATCTCTTATAGCTTTCACCTTTTCCTCATCCACATGGATCCCTTGAGCACCTACAACAAAACCAAGAAACACAACAGAATCCATGCAAAAGGAGCATTTCTGAAAATTAGCATATAAGCTATTCTCCCTAAGAGTTCGAAACACCTCATGCAAGTGAATAACATGGTCATTTATTGTTCTACTATAGACAAAAATATCATCAAAGTAAACAACCACAAACTTTCCAATAAATGAACGAAAAACATGATTCATCAAGCTCATGAAAGTGCTAGGTGCATTAGTTAACCCAAAAGGCATAACTAACCATTCATACAATCCAAATTTAGTTTTAACCCAAAAGTCATTTATTGTTCTACTATAGACAAGAATATCATCAAAGTAAACAACCACAAACTTTCCAATAAATGAACGAAAAACATGATTCATCAAGCTCATGAAAGTGCTAGGTGCATTAGTTAACCCAAAAGGCATAACTAACCATTCATACAATCCAAATTTAGTTTTAAATGCTGTTTTCCATTCATCTCCCTCTTTCATGCAAATTTGATGATAACCACTCCTAAGATCAATTTTAGAGAATAAAGTAGCACCATGCAACTCATCCAACATGTCATCTAATCTAGGAATGGGGTAGCGATACTTAACTGTTATTTTGTTTATGGCTCTACAATCAATGCACATTCACCACGAACCATCTTTCTTAGGCACAAGAGTACTGGAACAGCACATGGGCTCAAGCTTTCTCTCACAAAGCCTTTCCTCATAAGCTCATCTATTTGGCGTTGAATTTCTTTAGTTTCCTCAGGATTGGCTCTATAAGCAGGTCTATTAGGTAGAGAAGCTCCAAGAATAAAATCAATCCTATGCTCAGTTCCTCTTAAGGGAGGAAGCCCATCAGGTATCTCATTTGGGAATAAATCACCAAATTCCTGCAACAAAGACACAACACTAGAGGGTAAAGAGGGGTTAAGATCGTTAGGGGAAAAATAAGCATCCTTACACACAAGCACTAAGATTTGCTCACTCAACAGTGCTCTCTTAACCTCACTTTTTCCAGAAATTAAACTCTATCTTTTTTTCACTTTTCTCATGTTCTTTCTTTTTCTTTTCTCTCTCTTTAGTTTCTTCTTTTCCACTCTCCTTTTCTTTCAACTCATTCATTCTTTTGCAATCCTGCTCAATCCTCACTTGGTCCTCATAAGCTTCTTTTGGCCTAAGAGGCTTCAATACAATGATTTTTCCATTGAATGGTATAGAATAACAATTTTTGTAACAATCATGGTGAGCTTTGCTATCAAATTGCCACATCACATAGAACTTCAGTATGATAGTTCCCAATAGAAAAATAAACCAAAACCTGCTTAGTGACTTTAGCCTCAGTACTATCATTAAACCATTGCAATTTATAAGGTTTAGGATGCTTCATAGTAGGCGAGTCCAGCTTTTCAACAAGGTACTAGCAACATTGGTAACACTACCACTATCAATAACCATGCTGCATACCTTATTCTTTATGAAACACCTAGTGTGGAAGATAAGCTCTTGCTGCTCTTTCTCATCATCTTCCTTTACATGAATATTTAGGGATCTTCTAGCCACCAATTGATAGAGGAGCATGGCATGATCAAGCATCAAAGGAAGACCAAAACACGGAGCGTGGAGCCCAAGCTAAAAGATGGAAGTCCAATATTCTAAAAGACCCATTACAAGGCATTGCAGGCCCAATGACAAGAGCAAGAACCAAATCTATGAAAGAGGCGCTGAATTGTTTGATCAAAGATCTTAAAGAGTTGAGCCCATTTATTTGGAAGAAGCATCTCTCAATCAGCCCATCAAGGGTCCAAACATGGTGATTACATTGCTAGAAGCCAAACAAGATGATGTACAAGGCCCATGTGCAGTCCAGATTGAAGAATTCACTCAAAATACCATATGACAAGCATGTGCCTTGGAGGAGGAGCATAAGTGACATCCAAGAATATTCAAGAAGCATCAAGAAGGTGTCTTTATGTATTAGTTATGGTTTAATTTCGTTTTTTTTAAGTTTCCATTTTTATTTGCATTAAATAAGGCCTTTTGGTCAAAGATTGCATAAGAATATTTTAGGTTAGTTTCCTATTTTTAGGTAGCAGCCTTTTTCTTCAAGAAAAGGTAATTTCCTATTTCCTTTAGCCTTAATTGGTGCCAACCAACATAGTCAATCATCATTAAGGCACATTTATGGCATTTATGACCTAGGGTTTTTTTTATTCTAGATTGTTCTTTTGCTGCCTATTTAAGGCTACCTTTTTTGTAATTGGGGATCAGATTTGAATGAATGAATTTTAGAGAATTTTATTTCTCTTGAGTGAGCTTTGCTTGCCGTCTCGTATTCTCATGGGAATACTCGACTGTATCAAGGACTGATCATCCTTGTGGTGTCTCCATGGCTAGGGTTGTAAGAGATAGGTTCTCTTAAGGTCATACCTTCGATCGTTCATCTAGTTTCCTAACTTGTTTCTAGCCGATCCGTATCCGTACCATATATCATTTGGTATCAGAGCTAAGGTTTGCTAGAATTCAAGTTCTATCCTTTTATCTATTATTTCTGTTTTCATGTTTCATCTTCTTAATTCTATCATTCGTTCTTCGTCCCTTGCTTCCATCAATTTGTTTTTTTGCCTTTCCACCTCCTATTTGTGTTCTTTTTGTGACTTTCTGTGTTCCTTTGAGCAGTAAAAAAGAAAAAAGAGAGAAAAAAATTCGTGCACAAAAAAAAAGCAAAAAAAAAGTGTTATGTTGTGAAAAAAAAAAGGAGTGCTAAAAAAAAAAGAAAAAAAATCCGAAAATTCAAAAAAAAAAAAAAAAAAAGGAGAAGCTGCAGATTTGAGAATTGCAATGTTAAAGATGAGTTTCCTAAACTTGAGAAAAGCTTCCATTACAAGTCACAACTAGTTTTCTAAATCGTTAAACTTGGGTGGTAAGAGTTCTTATTTCCTCTCTTTGCATGTTTACTAATTTCTTCTTGTTTTCTATTTTTTTGTTTTCCTTTCCTTTTTTTTTCCATATTGCTTATTTGAGTTTCTTTCCTTTTCCTTCAAGTTTCCTATTTGCTTCCTTCTTTCCATATCTCACCTTCCTAACTTGGTTTGCTTATCTTGCAAGGTGCCTAATTTCCTAAATTATTTTCAAGGTAGCACCTTTCCTAAATATTTTCTTCCTTTTTTTTTTCTTTTCTAATTCATAGCTTTCCATATTCTCCTTTCTTTTTTCGTTTTACGTTTTTTTCTCTCTCCTCTTTTCCTTCCTTTTCATTTTTTTTGGTACCTATCCTTCTTCTTTTATCACATATTCCTTTCTTATCTCTTATATTTTCTGGTTCTTGCAATTCTGGTTGTGGAGATTACCATTTACTAACATTGTCTCTTGATTTTGTTGAGTTTCAATCAAGAATACTATAGGAGGCAAGTTTGAGTGGTAAAAGGCGAGAGTGTTATTACATCAATTTAAAAGCCAGATTTGAGTTAAAAATGAGTGACACTACAATTTCTTGAGTGAAACACGCGAGTAGAGTGGTAAGGTCCCTTCTTACTATTTCATTTCTCTTTGATCACACTAACGTTTCAATTTCAAGATGAGTGACAGAGAAGCCAATATGGAAGAATTCAACACAGATCCTAAGCTGTTTATGAGAGCCATGAGAGATGAATTTCTCAAACTCAAGTTGGAGCTAGCAGAGCTAAAAGCATCCAAAGCAAGTAGTGGTGACGAGGAGGTGATTAGATCTAGTTCTTCATCCTCAAAGAATAGGAGCAGACCTGAAAAACGTGATTTGGACACCTATGACCCAAAGATCAAGTACCCTACCTTCAAGGGTAATATAAATCCAGATGCATACCTTGATTGGGAGATGAAGTTTGAGCAAATCTTCAGAATGAATGACTGGCCAGAAGAAAAGAAGGTAAAAATTGCTTCATATCAATTTTCTGATTATACTATTGTTTGGTGGGAAGATTTACAGCTTAAAAGGCGCCTTAAAGGCAAAGGACCACCTCATACATGGTCAAAACTAAAGAAACTCCTGCGCAACAAGTATGTCCCTAGTACTACTACCGAGAGCTAAATAGAAAGTTACGACTGTTTGGCCAAGGCTCTATGACTGTAGATGAATATGTGCATGAACTTGACCTTCTTAAAATGCGAGCTGGAGTACAAGAAGAGAAAAGCAAGCATGACCAGAATCATTGATGGGTTAAGGCGAAATTAGAGACAAAGTTGAGATGTACACTTTTGTTGATAAAGAAGAGCTAGTGCATAAAGCCATCAAAGTTGAGAAGCGGTATAAAGAAAAACACTCCAAATCCTCATCTCATGGTTGGAGGGACTCTAGATCAGCATCCAAGTAAATTGCCTATTATTATCTCTAGTTCCTTGACTGAGAGTGAAGAGTCCAGTTTGATGAGTGTACTTAGTAGGAATAAGGAGGTGTTGGGTTGGCAATTAGCTAATATTAAGAGAATTGATTCTATTGTTTGCACCCATAGGATTCTATTGACAGAGGGTTCCAAGCCAGTTAAACAAAACCAAAGGAGGCTAAATCCTCTAATTTTTGATGTGGTTAAAAAAGAAGGTGATAAAATTTTGAGAGCTGGAATCATATACACCATCTGACAGTGAGTGGGAGTCATTGGTACAAGTTGTACCAAAGAAGAGTGGGATCACAGTAGTAAAAAATAAGAACAATGAACTCAACCCAACTAGGGTGCAAAACTCATGGAGAGTTTGTATTGACTATAGGAAGCTGAATAAGTCCATTAGGAAGGATCACTTTCCCTTACGCTTGCTCTTTTTTCTTCTCCCTAGAAGGATGATGTGTTGTGCTTCAATCTCGAATTGGACTTCACAACTTCCACCTTTGTTGTTTTTGTTTTCTGAGCTTTATGTTTTGGTATGTGACTGTGTGCTGCAATGAGGATATTGCTTTGATTTGTGTGGGGAGGGAGGAATTGGGTTTGAGCTTAAAAGAGGTGTTGTGAATTGTTTTGTTGGGTTACTCCTTGTTATGGGTGGTTCTTACTAAACTTGCCAAAATTTTTTGAAAATTTTGAAGTTTTCCCAATCTTCCATCACTTACTTTTGAGTTTTGTATTGAATTGTTGAAAATCTAGTGATAGATTGCTGAATTGGGTTGTTTTGATAGTTATTTTGGAGAGTAGTCATGGTTTAGGAACTTAGAAATGAGTTTGATAGGATTTAGAGAGTCAGAGGGCTCTCTGTGACCTTAGGTCGCAACCTCACTATCTTCATGTCGCCACCTGGAGGTTAGGCTGAGAAGGAGAGCTCTCAGTATACTGAAGTCGCGACCTCACTATTTAGGCTCTTTGTGAACTGAGGTCATGACCTCGTTGATTTCAGGCTGCTACCTGGAACCTGTCTAAAACCTTAATTCCTCTTTGTCTGCTGAAGTCGTGACCTGATGCAAAAAATCAAAACTTTCTTCTATGAATGCACCTCTCTACCCTTAAGTTCTCTTACCTTTTTGACTATTTTACCCTTTGAACCTGCCCTAGGCCTCGTCTAAATTCATCCAAGGACATAAAAACCCTAATACCCATTTTGTAATTTCACAAAGCCAAATCAAATCACTAAACCATTTCCCCTTCTAGTCCTTTCATTTTGTGATCCTTGAGTTTCCTTTCAATTTTTCTCTCTAGAAGTCGCGACCCACAGCCCTGAATCTCACAACCTGCCCTTAATTCTTTTTCTCTCATGCTAAACTCTTGTAATACCTCTCCAAATCTAGTCTCCTTTCTACATCTGAAGACTCCTTTCTAGTTCTACCTTTGTAAAGTCACTACTTACAATTTGAAATCTCTTTCTTCTCACTACTTACAATTCGAAATCTCTTTCTTCTCTTCCCTTGCATGCCCACTATTTCATCCACTCTTCTCTTTCAAGGTATTTTCTATTTCTTTCTGTTTCCTTTAGTTTTAGTTTCTTGCTTTCTGTCACATCTTAGTTTTTAGGCCTAGAAGTCCCAAAGATGAGAAAGGAAGTCAAAACAGTTTCAGGGACTAAATTGCAAAGTCAAAGCTTTCGGGGGCTGAGGTGTAATTAAAGTTAGAGGCTTTAGTAAGTCTCAAGGGCCCAAAAGAGAAAAGAAACTAGAAACAAGCCAAGGGGTAGGTTGGAAACCTTAAAGAGATAGTTGTATGGAGTTAAGTTCAAGCAGGGATTGAACTATAAATTTAGAAAATTACGGCCAACAGGAGTAAAAATAGAAGAGCATACAAAGAATTCTAAGAAAATCCCAAAAAATGAGAAATAATATTCTAAGGCTTTTTTGTGAAGAGAAATAACGAAAATACCCCTGAGGCAGCTTAAATAGAATTTATAAGGTTATGACCAATAAAAAGTACGTTGTTTGAGATAATTATTTAAAATAGCAAGAGGCTTCAAAAAATGTACACAAAAATGAGGTTAAATGGTTGAAAGGTTGTACTAATTTATAAAATTAGTTTTGTAACCAAAAGGCCAGTGGAATAACTTTAATAAATTAAAAGGCCGATTATGCCAATAAAAAGGTATTTTAGTAAATGTCTTTTATGCAAGGTTCGAAGGAAGCATTACAGGTTGTG